AAGAAAGATACCTAGAGTAGCGGAATTTTCGCATCCCCTCTCACATCCCCTACCCTCCCCAGCGGGGATGTAAGTGCATACGGGCCTAAAAGCTGATTCATACACACCTTTCCACGTGACAACCGCAAGCTGACTGCACCCTGCCGTATTCCGCAGGATTAGCGCCACAGCACTCGCTTCCGCGCAATTTGCATTTCAGAATTGAAATCAGAGTCGAAAAAATAGGTCAACAATAGCACAACTGACTCCACCAATGCCAAAAACCGTTACATATTATGTTCGCAAAATACTTGCACGTTTCGTAGTGCGTAGCCTCCGCCTCTACGATAGTGTCGCCTGCTCGTGCGGCTTGGATTCTGCCGGCCATCTCACTCGGACCTCGCGTCGCGTTCGCAGATAAAACCGTGGGCAACTTACCATGCCTGTGCAGCATGAAAGGCTAGCAAGAGCACATAATGCACAGACGCTATTCTCGGGAAACGGCGCAAAAGAGCCGGTTGCGCGGGATCAAAACCGTGAGAACTGGCGGTCAATGGAAATGCAAGATCCTTAGCTCTATCATCAATGTACTACGTCGTGCAAAAAAAAAAGAAAAAAAGAGCACTATGAACAGTCTATACAAAGAAGTAAACGCTGAATTAACCAACATACCTGACTAAGTGTGTTTCCAAGTCGAGGCTTCACCACTCCATAGCCTACAGACACAATTATGACCAAAACTCGTGACATAGTCCTTTTTGCACATGACACCAACTCCGCAAGCTTAAATCATTGATTTTTAACAATCATAACTATTACAATATGCTAAGAAACCTCCAAAACTCCTTCAACGCTTCTCCCACTAGTATTCATCGTTGAATATTCGGCCAAGAAAAACGCTTTCTCAATCATACCAAGAATGATAACGGCTCCTGTTACGTGCATGCAATGTGGCTGGTGAATTATCAAATGATTAAAAGCCAACCTATCCAGTATTGAATCCTCAAAATATCTTTATAGTACTTTATGCACAAAATCATCCATATCAAGGCGAGCGTACCATAGAAGACGCACATCATTATATAAAATCAAAAACCAAGAAGTTCAAAACATGTTGGGATAAAATCTTATGTTTTTCTACCTGAGTAAAGGATAGTCAATGGCGCTGAGAAATCCGTGCGGCTGCTTCCACTTTACAGTGATCGTGACATTATGCTCCTCGGATGGTGAAGACGAAGGATACGAAACACCGATTATCTACAAAAGTGCTCGTCAAAGCAGGGTACAGTATGCAAGTGAGACCTGCTAACCTTCATTACCAAGAAATAGATGCCATCTGCAGGTATAGTTTGTGCTGGATTCCACGACCTGAACTATGGAATCACATGTGGCATCATCCGCGCTAAGGCACTTACGAGAGCGATGTGGAAACAATGGGGTTACTTCGCTTGTCACGTCTATCTTGAAATTGAAGCTGAAAGCTGATTTCTGAAAAGCTCCTCACATGCTAGCACTTACCAAGGTTGTGACATTTTTGACCATCATTGCATGAGGATCAGCTTCCGAAAAGATTATGGAGCCATGCGAATCCTGTAAAAAATAAAGGATCAACAAACTGGTGAACTTTAGACAACCACTTATACGGCGTTATGAAAGCAATGTCGAGATGTCAGTAGTGAAAGTAAACTCACTCTGCAAGAAAAGTTCTGCGGCTTCGATTTATAGTACACAATTTTATCGTAGCTGTAAGTGTCAGGAATGTGGTCTGGATCAGAGAAGTAGAATGTCTAGAATAAGTGCTGACAGTAAGTTTAGTCATATCGAACAAGCACCATACCAGTAGCTTCCTGAGATTATCTGCTCTCTTTGCATCGAAAAACTCCTTGTCACACGGTGAAGAGCGGAGGGCATACTCCACCTGCAATTAAGAGTCAAGAAGCAGCATTATGGTACCCATCAGTGAACAGTCCTCTTGATGAAATCAAAAAGCGAATGAACAAGCATGAAGGTGCTCACTTGGAAGACCATATCGACATTTTCTTCAACGCAAGATAACCGAATTTCTATCTGAGTTTGATTCAACGCGGATTGAGCAAAGCCAATCATCTGATACTGGAAACGAAGTAAACTCCAAAATTTTTCATTTGATTGCCGACTATTCAACATATCCAGTATAAGCGAAAAAATCGTCACCGTACGTTTTTTGGTCGAAGGGGGACAGTTTCCGACAGAATCCCGGCACTTAGCAGATTCGCTTCCACGGCCGGGAGGATCAGTATAATTAACCATAGTTGAGGCATTAAGGCTCTAAAAACGTTCAAGCGATATCCTGCAGAGCACGGCTATCTATTTTCAAAGAGGTATCAAATAACTACAGATGCGGCATTGATGCACAACAAGCTCCTAAAGACGATAGAATATATAGTACAAAAGTATCCAGCACATGTAGCTCATAAGCGTAAGAGCTATCCACCAATTTTGAATGAACTTGATCGAAACAGGAGCGCAAGAAAAAGCGACGAAAGAAACGACACGCAATATCCAACGACATGCCAAATCACGCTTATAGTGTAAGTGAACGCTTTGTTACGTAATTGTGTGAGGTGCAAATCTGAAACGTCCTTGTTGTTGTTTTTTTGTAAACAGACTGGTGAGCTCACTGTTGTTACAAAAGAACTCGGCGTGAAGGAAGAGTAACTATGGGAGGGGAATTTTAGTCCAGCCCCCGATGCACCTTTGGATGAACGTCAGCGAAGGAAGCGTTGTCGAAACATTCCTCGCGTGCTGGGCAGTAACTAGTCGCTTACTACATACAGTCTGCTTCAATCCCAACCAGGCCGAAATTGG